TCCATTGGACCAGTTGAAGTTTCCAGACAGTCTTCAAAGGCAACCCCATGTAGAGAGCACTGCAGTAGTCTATACGGAATGTAACAAGAGTGTGGACTACCGTGGCCAAGTCAGACTTCCCAAGGTACGGGCGCAGCTGGTGCACAAACTTTAACTGTGCGAATGCTCCCCTGGTCACTGACGAGATCTGAGGTTCCAAGCTCAGCGATGTGTCCAGGATCACACCCAAGCTGCTAACCTGCGTCTTCAGGGGGAGTGTAATCTCAATCCAACACAGGCTGTAACATTATGCCCTTACGACTGACCAGGAGTACCTCTGTCTTGTCTGGATTCAATTTCAATTTGTTCGCCCTCATCCAGATCGTCACAGCGGCCAAGCATCGGTTCAGGACCTGGACCGCCTCCTTAGTAGCGGGTGGGAAGGAGTGACAGAGTTGGACATCATCTGCGTACAGATGACACCGCACCCCGAAACTCCGGATGATCTCTCCCAGCGGCTTCATGTATATGTTGAACAACATGGGAGACAGTATTGAATCCTGAGGAACCCCACAAGACAATGCTTGTGGGGCCGAACAGGTGTCTCCCAATAACACCTTCTGGGTACGACCCTCCAGAAAGGACCGGAGCCACTGTAAAACAGTGCCCCCCCAGGCCCATTCCGGCGAGGCGTCCCAGAAGGATACTGTGGTCAACAGTATCTAAGGCCGCTGAGAGGTCCAGCAGAACCAACAGGGACACACTCCCCCTCTCTAGCTCCCGGCGTAGATCATCTACCAAGGCGACCAAGGCTGTCTCGGTTCCATGTCCGGACAGTCTAAAGCCAGACTGTGCCGGATCCCGATAATCCGTGTCTTCCGAGAATACCTAGAGTTGAACGGCCACCACATTTTCCAGGACTTTGCCCAAAAAGGGTAGGTTGGAAACAGGCTGATAGTTGACAAATTGAGTGGGGTCCAATAACTGCAGAGTAACTTCATATTGTGTTGGGCCAAAATGTACCATTAACGTTACTTGCATTCGGCTCCACCTTCACTATCAAAACATCAAAATATTATG